ATAGTATTATATATATATATATATATATATATATATATATATATATATAAAATTTTTATTATTAGCATTATGTATATTATATATATTATAAAATATATATTATATATATTATAAAATATATATTTTTTAATTAATCCATGAAACTCTACTTTATTTAAGCATGCAAATATTTTTAATTTATTTTTATAACTTTTTTAAAAATTTTAAAAATTTATAATTTTTTTTAATGGTAAGTTTACAGAACAGTAAATGTAAAATGAGTAATTATATATGAATGAGATTAGAATTTTTGTTTTTAAATATAGCCACTGCGTAAGTGGATATAAACTTAATTTATAATTTTTGATCAAAATTTGTTAAGCACAGTATTTACAACGTGAAAATATCATACCCCAAAGAGGCAAGTAATCCAAGAACGCAGTATGGATGGCAGCGTATTATCAATGACATCAGTATCTTTAGAGAGTCGATTAAGAATTCGACCAGTTGGAGTTTGGTCAAAGAATGACATTGGATTCCGGAGAACACGTTGCAACGTACTCTCGAAGAGATGCACGGAAGCGCGTATTGTTCCTTTTGCCAAGAATAATGCCCCTCCAAACACTGTCATGCCTACAATGATTGGTGATAACTTTGGTATATCATTAAACCTGATAATTATATATCAGGGACTATATCAGTTTTTGCAATATTTGTATTTTATGTATATTATAAATCAAAAAATGAAAAATTAATTTTCTTAGCAATAATACTGATTTTTATTACATCATCTACCTAATACCATGTGCAAGTTCCTTTCTGCAGTTACACATGTATTGAGGTGCATTTATAATTAGAAAGTACTGATTATATATTACGACATATATATTAATAAAAAAAATATAAATAAATTCTTGTATTAAATTTATTTATCTTAATAAAATTATCTATGCAACTTAAATAAATTAATAAACATGCATAGTGTAATTTTTATTATTATTAATATTATTGTTATTGTTTTTTTTTAAATTTTTATTATATTTTGTATAGATTTTTTAATTTTGCCAATTAATTATATTTTTTTATTTAATATTTATAAACATAATATTTGATGATAAAATATTATCTAATATATGCTTTTAAAATTATAATTTCAAATAGAATTTGACAAGTATTTATAATATGAGAAATAATATTGAATAATTTATATAATATTTTTTACCAATTCAATTGGAAGATATTGTAAAAAATTATATAATTATTTTTTTATATAATTAAAAATATATTTTTACATGATTATTATTTTTCTATTAATATAATAGAATGATATATATATACATACATACATACATATATATATATATATATATATATATATATATTGTTATATAAGTT